CGGGGTCAGGGGTATGACGGTGCAGCCGCGATGGCTGGGAAATATAATGGAGTTCAAGCTTATGTAAAAAAAGAACACCCTTTAGCTTTATATGTACATTGCTCTGCTCATTCCTTGAATMTTGCTGTATCGGTATCATGTAACGTTTTCCAAATACGGAACTGTATGGGAACGATAGTAAAATTGAGAGACTTTTTTGTGTTTCCGAAACGAAAATCTGTACTTTCGAAAGCTATTGAAATATCAGAAAATAATATTTCTAAAAAATCATTGAAGAGAAATTGTGAAACTAGGTGGATTGAACGATATCATTCAGTTAGTGATTTTTTAGAACTGTTTGAATGTGTAGAAGAAGCTCTTGAAGAGATTTGCGAGTGGGATCATACAGACACGTCAAATCAAGCTAGCGCTTTTCGAAATTCAATTCTCCAACCAGAATTTATAATTTCAAAAGTATTTGGATTTGGTCTTCCACTATCAAAAAAGTTTCAACAAATTAATATTGATTTAAAATTGGCCATGGATTTAGCTAAAAATACTTTGCTCGAGTTAGAAGATTATAAAAAACACGCTCAGAAAAATTTTGAAGACATTTTTTTAGCTGCCAAAAAAATTGCTGACAAGTTCAATGTGACAATGAAAATTCTGATAATTAACAAAAGACAATTACATAGAATAAACATACAAACTAATAATCCTGAGGAATATTTTCGCATATCGGTTTTTATTCCATACTTAGATTCTTTTATAAGCCAATTAAAATCTAGATTCCTTAATCATATTGATATTTTGTCAAGTTTTCACTCTCTTTTTGACGAGAATTCTACAAAAGAAGAATTCAAAAATTTGGCTGAATTTTACGAAGAAGATTTAAATGGTAATAATTCAATAATAGAAGAGTTCCAACTGTGGCAAAGGAAACTTAAAAAATTGGAAATAAAACCAAAAAATTAAATTGATGCACTGAAGTTATGTAATGCAAACATATATCCAGGAGTTAATAAGTTATTTCAAATTTTATCTACACTTCCTATATCTACGGCTTCAAACGAACGGACTTTTTCATCACTAAAAAGAATTAAAACATATCTGCGAAATACAATATCTGAGGTAATAAAATATTATTAAGATTTAAGACATTTTAATTTTAAAACTAATATTTGTGGTTATTTTATTTTAGAAAAGACTAAATGGATTGGCCATGTTAAACATTCACAGGGAAGTTGAAATTACTGTTGATGAAGTAATAGAGGAGTTGGCAAAAAAATCGAGACGACTGGAATTTATTTTATAACATATCAATACTTCATATAGTATAGTGCTAATTATAATATATATATATTTATATAATATTACATAAGACTGTACGATTATATATTTTGTTCAACTTCCTACAAAAACTGCATAAGGACGTAACTATTACATGATATCATAGTTAATATTAATTATGTTTAAACTAAGGACCCCCCAGAAAAATTTGAAAATACGCCACTGGGTACTCGCCATTCAGCGCGCAGCATATTTTGTACTGCAGTGAGCAATCTATAGTATTTATAATCAATGTTAAAACATTAAAACATTAAAACATCATACAAACCAAAATTTAAACTTAATGATAAGGTAAGAATATCTAAATATAAACATATATTATATATATAAGGGATACACACCAAATTGGACAACAGAAATATTTACAATTTCAAAAATTTTACAAACCAATCCAGTAGCGTATCAATTAAAAGATGAATCAAACAATATAATCTTAGGCGGTTTTTATGAACAGGAAATTAAAMTAACWGATTTTCCAGACACCTTTCTCGTTGAACGTGTTATAAAAAAAGTTGGGGATAAAATGTTTGTTAAGTGATTAGGTTTTAATTCAAGTCATAATTCA